ATATATCATCTGTGTGTTCAAAGAGGCGCATGTATTCTTGGCTGTGAAAATATTTTTTTTCGTAAGGAGCAAGCGTAACTAAACGTCGTGTACAGCTGATTATCTAAAGTAAGAATACATGCGGAAATGAAAGAGTTAATAAGAGTTCGAATATGATGTCGATTGGCAGATCATTTTGAATTTAAACAAAGATGTATCTTTGAAAATCATTATAGAATATAACTGATGAGAAGTGCAAGGCTTATCTGTGTTATTTGTTCAGTTGCAGTGAATTGGACAACAATGTTAACTAATTTGAAGCTATTCTTTAGACGAACTTATATTATTTTATTTCTATTATATATCTTCACAAGTTCATTTTTATTTAATCTTGCTCTATTTAAGTAATGCTGTTCTATACAACTGAACTTACTCTAATGCCTGGTTTTCTAGACTTCGGTGATGGAATAATCGCCATCGAGGTAAAAAAAACTACTTTCTTTCGCAGAAATTCTTTTTGAATACAGTTCAATGTGTCAATCTCGAGTTTGAACTTATTAAAATTATTGTTTTATTGAATATATCTTAGATACTTCTGTAAATAAATTATCTTCTAAAATCTTTGTGATCTTCAACAATAATCTTGTTACATCAGAACTTTTGATTTTCTTTTTTTTAGTCAAGAGTGGTAAAAATACTATGTAATACAATGGTGTTCTTGCATAGTTCAGAACATGAATTATTTTGATTTTTATCATTCTTCTACTTTCTATACTTTACTGTTGTTTTCCTTTGTTACTATTTCTTGATTCTACGTTTTTTTTTTAGAAAATTTATTATGATAAACTAGATATTCAAGCGAACAGATTATGTAGTAATTCAGTTCGATTTGATATACTGATTATTATCGATCTGTGATGTAATTAGTTATATTAGTTTACCTAGGTTTTGTCCAATGACTTTTCGGTCAATTTATATGAGTTTCGACTTAATTTCTAAAAAATTTACTTCAATTAGATTTCATTCATCTGACTTCATACACTTTTCATGTTTATTTTAGGTTCCAAGTTCATCTAATACTGAAGAAGTTAAACAAAACATTGGGACAGAAAACATTCTTCATCAATTTCGTGATAATTGCGAGATATTGGCATAACCGAATATTAAAATTGATTATACTCCTGCAATTGATTTCAATTTTATTAAAGAAAAACTTTACTTTGATGAACTCATATTTATTCATTTATCATTATTAAACATTTCAATTTATAATTCTGAAATATTATTTTCATTTTTTTCCTTTTTTACAATAACAACACGTAATCTGTGGAGTAAAATCGAACGAAACCGATGTGTTTATTTTATTTTAAATAACTGAGACAATAAAATCTAACTATATGATATCAATATTTTCCTTTACTGTCTCTATGCATAATTCTACATTCTACTCCATTGAATAATAATGATCAGAAGAGTACACGTTTTTTGAAACCAAATTGAACTGAGATCCTACAAAAAAAAAGATTATGAAAGTTTTGCCACTTTAATTTTTTTGAAAAGATTATTCCTTTAAGACAATGTATTAAACACTTACAGGTGGTTTTTCTCTTCAGAAACATCTACATCCACCTACATTTTCATTTTTTTTAAGTACAAAAATATTCGATTAAAAACAAATTCTCATTATCAATAGAGTCCAAACAACATATTGAATAAAATACTATATCGACATTCCTTGTCAGTTCAACTACAATTGCTGATGTATAGCTTTGACAAACTCACAAGTTCATCTATATTCACTTAGTTGATAAATATTCAATCTCTTTCTGTTTGATTGTTAAATCAATGGAACGAGACTATTAGATCTTACATTCAGGGTGTGGGTGTGGGTGTGAGAGTGAGTATGTAGAGTGTGGGTGTGGATGAAAAGATATCTTTTGTGCACACCCACACCCACCCACACCCTACTTTTTTTCCTTTTCTTTATCATTTCATGCGGTTACTTCTGTGCCTCAATAAAAAACATACAACATTTTTCCCATTTCAGTTGAATTTTTTTCTTCTACAGAATTATTAATTATCTATTATTCATCAAATCTTCTTTTTGAATTCTTTGTGCTTAATTCTAATTCGTAAAGATGGTCACTAATCAACTGATCCAAAGCGAAAAGTAAGTGAAGCATCACAAATAATATTTTGATAATACCGAGTTTTCACGGCTAAAAACTGACATCATGTAAAGTACTATCGATGAAATTTATATATTGATCCGATCTATTATGAAACAAACATTCTAATTTGTTTGATCGAATTTTTCGAATAGTTATACTCCATTCCCATTTACAACACGTCAAAATGGCATCAGAGATGATTATGACATATCAACAGAAGAATTAGGTGCTGGCATAAGTGGTAGAGTGTTCAAATGTGAACATTGTCAAACGAAACGAAAATATGCACTTAAAGTATGTCTTTGATTTATTTTGATAAATCTATGAATTGTTTATATTTGTTTTTATAATTTTTTACAGAATTTAATAGATTCACCTAGAGTTCGACAAGAAGTTATCCTGCATAAAAAGGCATGCAAAGATTGTCAATATATTGTACAAATCGAAGCCGTCTATGTAAGAATACTTTTCTCTATTTTTCTGCATTATTTTATTTTTCGCTACTTTACTGGCCGATTCAATCTTTTGAATTATTTTAGGAAAATATGCTTGGACCCCAACGACACATATTGATCATCATGGAATGGTACATTTGGGATTTTCTTTAATCAATGTATCTATGTATGTTTATCTTATCATGAACTTTTATTCTAGTATGGAAGGTGGTGAATTATTCAGTCGAATAGAAAAACGAGGTCAAAATCCGTATACTGAACGTGATGCTGCTAGATATATTTGGATGATTGTCCAAGCTGTTAATCATTTACACAAAATGGATATCGTAAGATGTTTTCATATGACTTACTCTTTTTTTTAATATTTTCCACGATTTATAGGCCCATCGTATGTAGTTTTGCAATAGAAAAATTTGATTTATCGATATAAATTATAATCATAGGTGATTTAAAACCAGAAAATCTACTTCTAACCGATGAAAGTGATGATGCTATTCTTAAACTTAGTGACTTCGGATTCGCCAAAGAAGGTAAAATAACAATTATTGAAAATAACAAAAAATACTCACTTATTTTTTAAGGACATAATGAATCATTACCACTGCACACTCCGTTGTAAAAAATTAAATTAATCATATTCAATTGTTTCATAAGATTTTCTTGTTTAGATTCACATCATATTACGTCGTACCAGAGATTCTGAAACATAATAAATACGACAAAGTAATCATTTAAATATGTTTTATTTTGATAGTCTATGAGCAAAGAAAATTTTTATTAAAAAAATAAGCGTTCTATTCTCTTATCAGAAATACAAACAATTCTATTTCGTTTGTTTTATTTGTAAAATAGGCTTGTGATATTTGGTCTCTTGGTGTAATTATGTATATTCTACTATGTGGTTATCCTCCGTTTTATCCGGAAGGCAATCGTATGCTGAGTTCTGGTATGAAGAATAGAATTACAGCCGGTGCTTATGAATATCCAGAAAGAGAATGGGAGAATATTTCATCACAAGCTAAATCCACTATTAACCAAATGCTTACAGTGGACACTGCACTACGTATTACAATTGATGAAGTTCTCAAATGTTCATGGCTTACGGAATTGACATCTACGAGACCAATTCATATGGTTGCACTTCAAGATGAAGAAGATCGACGACAATTAGAAGTACGTTAGAAATCAGAATTCTTTTTCTTGTTTACTTCATTTTTTATATCATTTTTGTAGGTTGCAGGTTAGCAATTCTGTTATTGTATGCACAATAGTAAAGGCAGTTTATTTTTGATTTATGATCATAGTTGCATCTGCTACGGATAGTCAACGCCGAACTGATGATGATTTAGGTATTAATATATCTGGTCCAGAGGCATCACGTATTGCTAGACGAGCAGCCAAACGAAAACAACAAAATGATGCGACTAATGTGAAACAAAACAATGAATCAAATATGAATTAAATTATAACCATAAAAAAGTTTAGTGATTATTCTAATCAAATCAAGAAACTGATCAAATTTAATCGACCAGAGATGTAATCTTATCTATTGTATACTTTGTCTTTTTTTTTAATTTTTATCAACAGTTATATTTACTCTGACAGAGTATATATTTTGAAAAGTACGAAATACATTATTTAATACTATTTTGATATTTCATCAATGAAATTGATCATGAATTTGAGTCTTTTCCACTAACATCTATTCTTGCAATTGAAACTATTTCATTTTTGGATCCTGAAGCACAAAAGATACTGTATAAGTTGCATATAGAACTTGATCGTAAAGAAGTTATTTTTATTAAACAAAAATTACTCGAAAATCAATAGAGTATTCTTCGATGATAACTCAATTATTAAGTTTTATATAAAAATTAAGTTATGTTATAGTAAAAATAGTACATGTAAGTAATGAAAATATTTTCTATTAGAAAACAAAATTGTCAGTCAGTGTATATAGAAGGCTAGGGTCACCTCTAACTCACACTCATACCCATCTGGCGATTTACTGATACAGAATTATATGAGCAAGAAAAACTATTAGCCAAATTATGATAAATGATTTTTCAATTATAAGCATGATAATTCGAGTTTTTGTGATTTATTAATAACAGATAGTGTATTGTCGATGCATCAAACAAAAATGAATATATTTTCTTTTTAGTTGTTTAACATTATTTTTAAGTTCGAAAAATTGTTAAGAAATCCAATGTGTTGTTTTTTCTATTGTTTAGAAATAATAGCATATTTTTAAAAAATCATGAAAAGAAGAAAAACGATGCCTAGAGTCAGAAAATTGTTACACTATTCATTGTTTGTTGGCAAGATAATAACAAGTTAACACCAAAAAAATCAAAAGAAATAAAGAGCATTGATGAAACAAATTTTATTTTAATCATACAATCAAGGAAAGATGAAATTTTTATCCTGACAAGAATTGTAAGTGTGTTGTAGTTGGTTGGAGAGAGTAAAGATGCCTACATCCACATTCAAATGATAATCTTTTAGACTAACATTATATTTGGTCGTGGTGGTTCTGGCATGTCTATTCCAAGATAAAATCCTGGATGAGGTGGTTGATTATAAGCAGAGTTTTGCCAGGCTGTAGCGACACGATATTGTGGATCATGCATTAAAGTGTAAACACAAGTGTTAGTAGGAATTACTGTTGTGAACAAGAGTAATCTAGAATTATCACTACTTCTATACAGAACTTCTTCTCGCCAATCACCAAGAAGGTCGGCAACCAATCCTCGAGTGGCTTAACTTCCATTACTACTGGTGGCATTTCCTCGTTGATAGAAAGTATATAATCGACTCGTTGTATTTCGAGAATAATCCCATTTATCTAATACTGTTCTATCTAAAAGTTCTCGTGACAAATCACCATCCCACCAGACACCAAAATTCATCGATGGTCGATTTGGTGCTGTTTGAGTGCATTTACAATTGTATAAACCTCCAAATGCTCCCCATACTTCTAGTCCCTTATAACGTGGATCTATATCAGCTGCCATAGCTCTTCCTATATCTCCACTTATTGGTATTCCCCAAATAAATTCACCAGTTTTACCATCGTGTAAAGCTAAACCATATTGTCCATAAGAGTTTGTACTTTCATAACATTGCCAAACTTCTTGTCCTAATCTATCAGGATCTATATCTGTCATGTGTAGAACATCACCATGTCCCTTACGGTTAGTATATAAACCCATGCCATTATCATCAACAGCACTCGCACCATTACAAATTTCATCTTTTCCATCTGCGTCGACATCTCCAACCGATATTTGATGATTTCCTTGACCGGCATAACCTCTATTTTCAGTTGTTGATGATGAACTATCAAATGTCCATCGACGGGTTAGACTTCCATTTCTCCAATCCCGTGCTGTTCGTACTAACCGACTATAATATCCTCGTCCCATAATTAAACTTGGTCTTCTACCATCTACATAAGCAACAGCTGCAACGAAACGATCAACACGATTTCCACAATTATCACCTCATGCACTTACATTACCACGATCAGGTATAAAATCAACTGTTGCCATCGCCTTACCCGTTTGTCCATTAAATATCGTTAAATATTCAGGACCAGTAAGTATATAACCTCGTGAATTCCTATAATCTGCATCTGAATTACCAATAATAACATTTGTACTATCTCTAGTTCCATCAGCAGTTTTACAGGCTATTTCAGCTTTTCCATCACTATCTAGATCATAGACTATGAACTGAGTATAGTGTGAACCAGCACGAATATTTTTTCCAAGATCAATTCGCCATAAATGTATTCCATTCTATTTGTAAGCATCCAAATAAACATTACCCGTATATCCTGCTTGTGCATTATCACGAGAATTTGATGGATCCCATTTGAGTACAATTTCATATTGTCCGTCTCCGTCGAGGTCACCTACACTACAACCATTAGCACTGTATGTATATGAAACACCATCAGGAGTTGTTCCGCCAGCTGGAATTTGTAAAGGTATGGTAAGATATTGTTGTGCCCAAGCATTGGCTGATTCGGAATATGTTTGTTCAATACCATTTAAAACTACCTTTACTGTATAAATCTCATTAATTGTTGTATTATCAACAAAGTTAGTACGATCAGTTAAAGGTGTTGCTGTGATTTTCGTTTGACCCCGGTATAAAACAAAGGATATATCTGAAGAATCAGTACCAAACAGGCGCCAGCTAATAAACACTTAATTTGGTCTTGTTCGTACTGCAACTAAGCCTCTATCCAATTTTTCCATTTGTTTCTCTGTTGCAACATTGAGATCTCAATAAAATAGAATAAAATAAAATATGGGTGTGACGTGCTTGGCTGGAGTGAGTAATGATGCGTACATTCGCATGCATCCACGTAAGACTGATATCGATGTTTAAAAAAAAAGACAGAATTTTGTGTCGAAAAGAAAATATTACGTCAAAATCAATCATAGACTTAAAACATGATCACTATGAGAAATGTATTCGCGAAATTAAACTACGAACATAGAATCTAGTTTTATTCGTTATATTGATTATGGCACCATCTTTCTTTCTTACCTGTTTTAATATTTTCATCAATGAATGCTGATACAAAATAGAATACAAATACAAATATACAGGCTGTACGGCAAATCATTTTTTGATTTTCGTCTTATAAAATAAAACGATACAAAAGTATGCAATTTATATGGATTCTTTGTTATTAAAAATTATTTTTCAAGTTTACATCCGGAGAAAATTGAATAATTAATCTTCGAAAGCAATATCATATTACAAAAGAAACGTTCTTCTTAATACCTCTAATATTAAAATATGAAACGTTTTGGATCTATTTGACATGAACATGAAAAATCTATTTTTTTGCCTTAAAATTTCAATTTTATGGTAAACAATTATATAAGATATATTAGTTGATTAGAAATTGGAAGACTGTCTATCTCGATGGATTTACTGTAATTTTATGAGAATATTCATTGGATTTACTGAAGAGAAATGTTATAAAGTCATCTATACACCAATAATCTTTTGTCTTTATCATTGAGATATAAATGTTTAAAATGCAGATAGTCACATCTAAACAAAAATATCAATGTTAACTATTATCATATTTCTATGAAATGTACTTTTCTTAGTCCTTATAGTTATTTAACTCATCAATTTTGAATTTCATGTTAATACACATACTGAAGACTCGAGTAGATATATAAATATATAATCCTTGTCATGAGTTATATTCATATTCCAGCAATAATTATGTCATACGATGCTAACCAATAAATTTTCTCAAGGTAATTCGATTAATAAGATTTACATAAGATGATGAACATTCTTTTGTATATTACCCGTTTTTATCTACCATCTTTATTGTCTTTCCTTTCTTCTTTCTTTTTCTTGAATTATATGGATGTCTCTAAAACAAACACAGTTCAGTTTGGTTAGATTCATTTCTTGGATAAATATCGTCTGTTGCAGATAGTAACAATGAGTCGTTGAGCGAAGAATATGGTGATCGAGTAATGGCGTTAAGTCAAGAATCACAAGATGTTTGCTGTTTTTTAAATGAAAATTCATTCGAACTATTCCTATTCATCAGAAATTTATAGAAAGAGGCTTTATGAGAGTCAATTGTAATGTGACAATGTCAACAAGATCCCTAATACACTACAATATGCAGTAGAGACAGTTACATTTCCATTATTTTTTAAAGTTTCTCTAATAATCAAAATCTACTAATCATTGCAAAACATTCATTCGAGCAAGAAGTAACTAAACGAAATAGAAATGGGAAAAGAATATGTTTCTTCTATTATTAATCGATAGCTTTTTTTGATATCATTATACTACTATTATCATTTGTATAAAACATCAAGACACATAAAAAACATGGTTTTTCGAATGAAAATCAATTGGTGAAAAAAGAATAAACAAAAAAGGTCTTATTTAATGTTTGCTCCTATATCAAACATTTTCTATTCGAACTCCAATAATTTCAACAAATTTCGATGATCAAACCTAATAAAGCGCAAGACACAGAAGATTTGAAAATTTTTATTGATAGCCTCTTGTACCACGAAACCATTCTATCAAAGTTTGCATTTCAAAACAACATACTCAATCTCGTATACCTTGTTTTAGTCACCCTACTCATTCAATGAAACTTATGAACACAATCAGTTCAAAAGACAACCTTGTAAATAAGTGACCAAAATCTAATTCCTTTCTCCATCACTGAAAGCCTCACTTTCATGACTGTCTAGCCTCTAAATCAATAACAAGAATATTTGGAAAATCGATCAATGTGAACAATCTTTCTTCTTTCAAATAGATATCTAATGACTATTTTCGATAGCATAACTACATAGTACAATATTGAAAAACTTACTATTTCTTCTTGCCTTTTGCTGTTTATTTTCTTTTATACCGACCGATCATGCTATTTTACTTCAAGCTTATTAATGAATCTATAATCAAGAAGATTAAATATGATGATTATTTCGTTGAGTTGATAATTATGGCAACAATCAAATTTTTGAGACATATTCCATTTTTGATACATCTAATTTTCTTGGTTTAATCTTACATCTTTTATATATTTTCTTTCGGAAATGTTTAAGAATCGCGAATTCTAGGATTTAATAGAATTCAAATTTTTTGTGATGAAGATTTTTCATCAGAAGTTTTTGGTAATTTCCAATCGGAAGGATTCATATTTCGATGTGAATATATTGTATTTCCTATCGTATCGAATGAGATTAGATCCTTGAGTTTTTGAAAGAACAATCTTTATTTTGATATTAGTGAACATTGAGATAGTTTTCTTTTGATAAAACAAAATCAAAGTCAGAGAAAAATATCGTCAAGTTAATGAAAGACTTCTTTATCCAATAATATTCCTCATAACTACTTCTGTCCACATAAATCATGAAAATCTTCATCAAATTTAATAACGAATGATATAAATTATCTATTTAGAGCTGCTAAGAGTAACTTGGCAAGTTGTTTGAAGATATTCCAATTAAGCTTTTTTCACAAATTCATATTGCCGCGATTGTATCTGTACAAAAAAAAATATTTTTAATTAAATTTCGATGCTACAGTATTACAAAATCCTAAACCTTTATTTACAAACTTGATCAAGAAGTTATGTATTCTTTTCGAAAAACTTTCCTTTATAATTTAGAATGCGAATATAACACTTTCTTTTCAATTATACTACAATAAAAACTTATCTTTGTTTCATGTCAATAGGAATGACTTTACATGGCTTTAAAGTGTTTCCTGTTGGATACGTTTAGATGGATCAAGTTGAATAGATTATAAACATCCATGAATATGNAAAATAACTGATTTTCGTAATTGATAATTATTAGGAGATGCTATGTCTTATAGAAATGAACCCATTTTGCACGAGGCAATGAGAAATTAGCAAAATTTTTATTATTAATATAAATACATTATACATACTCAACATGTGCCAATATTTTTTTTAATGAATTTTCAACCTTAACATTCTCATGATATGTTCATAGTTACAAGAGATACTTGAAAATTTACGATATGAATATTCTAAAAATACTTGAGAAAAAAACTTGATGCATGTTTAACTGCTCATTATTATTAAACACTTTCATCATAATCGTTACTCATTTGAGCTTCTATCTATTTCATTATTAATACACTTTTCATTAGAGTATATTCGTGCTTCATTAGTTGTTAAACATTTGTAAAGCCCAGTTTTTAATGAATTCGTAAGCTTTCACATAATCCTTTATATGAACTTCTATTATTTATGCTATATAATGTCGATTTCAAAATTAAATGGCTGTGAACATTTTTCGAATAACTTTTGATAGGAATGAGATAGAAATCTCCGATTTTCACCGTTAAAAAGAGCAGATAACGATGCAGCGAACTATATATATATATAGAAAGATTTTTCTAACTACATTCCTATAGATTTTGCATAAAACTCCAAGAAAAACTGCATGCTTCTCATGGTTACGATATTTATTTATTGATTTTTAGGAGTGCCCTGGAATTACCAAAGAAAGGCCTAAAAAACTACATCAAGACACTATTCGTAACTACTAACAGTATGATATCCAAACCATCGGAACCAAATTTACCACCTCATTTTTTTAAAGAAAATAATCGAAGAATGTAAATTTTTGTAGCATTTTGATAGAAAAGCCACTTTTTAACGTAGAAGAAAAAAGCAATCCTTTGAAAACTTTTGACTTAACCTTTAGGAAAGTGGTTAGAAGAATCTGTATATACATAATTCGATGTTTCTTCATATGTTCTTTCCAATGGTGAAAACCGAAGATTTCTATGTCGTTTCTATCAAAAGTTATTCAAAAAAAATGCCAACGGTCATTTAACTCTGAAATGGATACTAGTATAAAAAAAAAAGGCACTATACAATTTCGAATGCGAGAAAAACATATTTTTAAATGAACCTCTCTTACAAAGTTAGATAAAACCATTGTTTCATTGTTACAAGAAAGAACATGTAAACAACGATTCAGATGAAATTTAAAATTGTTATTCATATTTATTTCAGATGATGCCTATCAATAATAGTTTTGATGATGATGGTAAAATTATATTTCAAGAGTCCGAGGTACCGATATCTCGTCCGATTCGATTTTGGCTTCTATTATTATTAGATATTCCATCAATAATTTGTTCTTGCTTTCTGCTTTTTCATCTTTTCACTAATAAAACGTTACGATATCAATTAAAAAATCATGTTATTATAGTTTTACTCATCATTGGATTAATTATAGAATTATTGGATATTCCACTACATCTGAGTTTTTTACATCTTGGTAATGTTCACCCATCAATCCCATTTATATGTCTCATTTGGTGGTTTATGGATATAGGTCTATATAATGGATGTACTATAATTATGGCATGGTGTTCTGTTCATCTTTATTTATTAGTATTTCATGATGGAATGTTTCTTAATAGAAACAGACGTTTATTTTTTCATTATTTACCGATAATCATGTTACTTTTCTACATATTAGTTTTCTACATAATAGCGATAATCTTTCCGCCATGTAAGAATACATATGATTATACATTACCTGTTTGTAATGATTTTCCATGTTATTTGGGTGATAGTTATTTTGGTATATGGGATTCGGTTGTGAATAGTATTCTACCAACATGTGTTATTAGCATTTCTACTATCGTTCTTTTTATTAATATTCATTATTATAAACGACGTGCTCACCAACCAATCCGATGGCGTAAACAACGTAAAATGATACTTCAGTTACTTTTACTATGTACTCTGTATCTTCTTCCAAATATTCCATTGAATATATTAATTTTCTCTCATATTTGTGGTCTATCAGAAAGTATAGGCGTTAAAGCTCAGCTACATTTCGATTTTTTATGTTATTTCGTTATACTATTATATCCATTTTTATGTCTTGGTTTCTTATCAAAAATCCGCAAGAAAGTAAAGTGGTCAGGCTTACTTTTACTGAAACAAACTCGGCAAATAGCCTCCATACGTCCTCAGTAAATAAATATATAATAATAGTTTTCTGTATATTGTAATAAATGTTTGCTTTAGATATTGTTTCTGATTTAATCTCAAAAGAAAAAACATGATTTATC